GCTGCAGAAAACCGGTGCAGCACGCCGTATAATCATATTGTTGTATTGCCATTGGGTTCCTCCTCCACCACCATCGTTGCTCTTTCTCTTTTTCACTCTTTCTCCCTCTTTCCTCATCCTAGAACCAAACGTAACTACACTTGGGACGTTCGGTCGAGCATAAAGGCCGCTTTTCTGAATTCAGTTACCGTGGAAGCAACGACCGTATTACGTACATAGTTAATAAATACTATGTTTTTACAATTCCAACATTTTTGTAATTTTCTTCTTGAATACGCTAGCAAATGAGATTTCGACAGCCGGCTGCGGGAATTTTTAGGTATTCCTCCACCACAAGTGTGCTTCGAAGATCCAAGTTCAGATAACAGGCACGTTAGTATAGCCTATACAATTCGAACATCCCGGTTCTCGTACAAATACTACAAGAACTGAATCTCTTGAAAAAATAGAAATTCAAACATGGAATATTCTCAACTTTGTTATCATTTAAACACTTGATTGTCTGTTGTCTTCTACATATTTGCTGGCTTCGTTACAACAATAACAACAGACTACTTGAATTTTATATCGAATTTCTAACTTAAATAAAAATTATAATTATGTAATATATAATTATAATTTAAGTTACAATTATTTAATATATAATTATAATTTATAGAAAGTGTACAAAAAATAACTGTCAAAGGCCAACCGAATAATGAAAATAACAAGAGGTCGTTTTGTTAACAATATAAACATAGAAAATCTTAGAAGAAGAAGATATTGTAGAATATCCATGAATGTTACTTGGGTAACATTCAAAATTAGAAAGTTATTTAAAACGGGAACGTTTGTGCATTTGGTTCAGTGCACAAGAATCTTCACACCGAGTCGAGTAAAACGATTCTATAAAAAGTAATATCAGCAATTCGAGATTCTTATAAATCAGTTGATTTTTATAAAGCAAGAAAAAATATGCGCTCGTTCGTATAATATACTTGAAAGCTACGTGCATTAACATTGTAAATATGTATTTCGCGCACTTTCCTTTTAATAGAAATCATTATGACATGTATAAAGCATCGGAAAAAATAGTTCCATCCTTTCAAGTAGTATAACCGGCCACTGTAACAACTGTACCTAGAGCATGATAACTAAGATCTGTGTCGTGCATAGATATGTTTAATCCTACTACTCTATTTGAAAATAAGATCATTAATAAACGTCTGATATGTTTCATAGAATAAAAAATAATAGAAAAAAAATAATTTATGCTATTAATAATTTTAGTATATTAAATTTATCAATCATATAGTAGATAAAACGTTACTTATAAGCTGAAGAAAATAGGTCAAAATAATATTTAAGTGAAAATAACATACATAATAGTATCTGAATATTAATTAGTCACTTAAGAAAAAAAGATACGCGTGCATTAAAATCTAAAAGTAGTAATACTGAAGCAATTTCATAGAAATAGTTTCGATACAACTAAAGAAAGTCTCAACTACATATAATTGTGTTCTGATCACGGTGCAGCCTCGCACATTCGACACTGGCCGATTGCCACGCGCTCGACGAAACACACTAAAATATCTTCTCGGCCAAAGTCGCAAAGGCCAGAGTTTTAGAAAACACAAGACGATGCCCGGCTTTGCTCGTGGACCGTGAAAAAACTTTGTAGAAAGAAACTTTTTAAACGTGAATCAAACGATGCCATTACCAGTTGGATATACGAAATTTCTTTTTTTAACACGTTGGTTGAGATGTTATTGTAACTCTAAATGTTGTATCTCTTAAGAGTGCATAGAATTAAAAGCATCGTTAAATTATTTATGTTCTATATCAGAAGACTTGTTGAAACGCAATTGACAATGATCGTGTACGGTCTTGAAAAATGTATATGCTACAAATACTCAGTACCATGCAATTTTAATTGCTACTATTCTTGAAATGCAAGAATACTATACATATTCTTCAAAAACGATTTCTACTGGATGAAGATTATATTTTAGATTCTTATATCAAGCATATATTCTGTTTCTAATAACAATAAAACTTATATTCAAATCAAATTATTTTATGGAATATTTGATAATATATAGGCAATACGATGACACTCCAATTAGTGACCTTATTACGCGATCATTATTTTAATTTTAATATTGCGCTACACTTTGTTTACATAATATTATTTCTTCTATATATAAATCCTCTATACATTTCTTCTATATAAAAATTCCTATAAAATATACGTATCATTGTATTGTACATAAAAAATTACAATTTTAAATAAAAATATATTTCCTTTTTCTGGTAAAAAATATTGTATATCCTGAAGCAACGTATCTATCGAAAAGTCAGAAAAAGAAATTAAAAAAAAATGATGATTCTCCGTTCATTTACGCCAGACGGCTGTAATCACCTGCACACGTTTCCAGGCCTTCTGCTAAAGAGAAATCGTCGAGCCGACGTCGAGGTTTATTAATAAACGTTGTGGTACACGTGCCCGTCGTCGTGTACCCCTTTGTCGCGACGAGACCGCTGCAACGGGGGTGAAAGAGGAGCGACCGAGAGAATAAGCAGATCGTTTTACGAACACGCAAGATGGCCTCGCCGAAACATTTGGCCATCGGATAAACAGTATTTTCTAGACATATTTTATAATCTCTTGCCCCATTTCGCTTACTTTATTAAAATGATATTACAATATGGGAATATTCATTCATACTGCAAATATCGATCTAAATTCATTAAAGCATTGTACATGCAAGAAAACCTTTCATAACGTTTCCAACAAATTATTATTTAGAAATATTGACATATAACAATGGCGAATAAACAATTACATCAAAATATGTATTTGTAACGGTATTGTGCTATGCAATGCCTACTTAGTAACTCCATAATTATGTTATCGAAGAGCCAAAATATCGGATATGTTTCAACACGATTGAGTAATCGAAACTCCAACGGAATACTTGTATAGAAGCGACGTAAATGTTCAATACGCACCTTTAATTTTTCGAAGCACTATCACCTGATGCACTGGAACGTTGCTTTTTAATCCCAATGAAAAACACCAGGAAGATATTCACACCAATAACGTAGGTATCCTTCCAGCAGTGCAATTATCAGTTGATGATAAAAATCGACGTTATAAATTAAGTGCACACGTTCAACAGCCGTTCGCGTTAGGAAAATTTTGATTCATTACTACGATATGGGAGAGAATTTCCCGAAATCTGACACGTTTAATGAACTGATAATATTAACGCGAAACACTTTTGATGACACGTAAGTACGTAACGAACGATATACTTTACAACTAACAATTTTTTGTACACGCACACATCCGACACGAACGAAGGCCCACGTGCGAGTACCGAACTGCCTTTAAGTTTGCAGTTACCGTGCTGCGCGCCAGTTCGTCGGGTTCTTCGACGATTTGTAATTTCATTGGTCCACTCAAACCCCCACTATTGTGTAGTACCAGTAGCGTAGCGCAACGACGACCAAATGAGACACGAATGAGATGCAAAAAGTAAAATCAGTTAGTGACGACGTGTTGACAAATCTTTCGTCATTTTACCTCGTAGAGGGATTTTAAATGCTAATTAACCGTGGATTAGAAGCTTTCGTGTTATTATCGAAATGAAAGATCCTATGTTTTTACTTTCTGATAATTATACGTTTTACTGATGATTTCCCATTCTTGAGAATAGAACAAAGAAATAGAGATAAAATTGATTTTCATTTACGCCATTTGTAATTACTCATACAGCACGAGATATAACTTTAACTATGCGGCATTCGTTTATTCTCTTTTTCAAATTTATGACACCATTACTCACGCTGTTATAATGGATAGAAAAGCAAACAAAAGACATTGTGGGTTAACTTTTATGCATACAATCACATTATTGCCACCTATTTCTTCTTTTAATTACTACTGACTAACGTATTTTTAACAATGTCGAAATTAAAATGTAACAAAATTTAGAGACAATGTGACATTGGTGCATTTGCGACAGCGTTGGAAAGTAGCAATACCAATCCGAAATGATCCTACAGGATCCACGAGGCAAGGCGGTGGTCCGTCGAGGAGTATCAGCTGTTCGAATTATTATCGTTGCAGGCGACGGCAGATGTTCACTAGGCTAAAACGCTCCCTCGAAGGCTTTGAACCCGCTGATCTCTTTTCTTCGGAGCGGGTGAAAAACTTTCAAGGAAGCCTAACATCCCGTTCAATCTCACACAATATCCAGTTCCTTCTCCTTGGTTTTCATAAGAGAATGAAACAAATTAAAAAAGAAACAATTAATAATGATAATAATGAAAAGAGGAATAAAAGCTTTCTCGATTTAATTCAATAGGAATCTTTTTAAACACGGTGTTTGTAACTTCAAAACTATATTTCATTTGACTTCTATTACTTCAAATGCTTCTGAGTGTCCTTCTTTATGACCTTATTTTAATATTATTTATTATACAAAATAGTCAGTTTCATATGGAATAACAACTTCCAAAACATTGAATATACATATATGTATGAGGTGTCCGCAGTAATAAACAGACAAAGGTAATGTTTTTAAAGGATCTCATAGATAATTGCGGCAAAGATAATTTAACCAATCTCTTCTTCGATTTTGCACAATCGGTTACCTCTGTGTGTAGCATTGTTCGAAACCTGCCGTAGTTACGTGTCACGAAGTACGTATAAGATATCATCGTCGTCTGCGTTTGAAGGAGACCCCATAGGTTTGTGGCACGCGCTGCCAGCTGCCCCACAGCTGTCTCTCTTCTCTGTCGTCCCCCATACACGAGACCGGGGTTCTTACCAGAGTGTAGTGCATTTACCACACAGAAGGAGTCTTTTCGCCTCTACATGCATGTACACCAAGTTCAAAATGCGTGTGTCCAAAACATATTTCGTAGGTATACTTACGTACGTTGTTACGTCGTTGCGTACTCGATGAGGTGCACCCTTGAGAAACGTCGAGACGTACGGCTCCAAGAGATAAACCGACACTTATTGTTTAGGAATGAGGTGTTTCTTCGACACATTTTCAAATATTTATAATATTTCGCATTCCAGTAGACACTTTTAATTTTTCTTGCAAATTTGTTTGAATACGTAATAAGAACGTGCGGCTAAAATTATAATACATAATTATTACGTGTATTAACCACAATAAAAAACGTACATTTTGTTCGTACAAAATTCATTAGATCAAACTACTTTACTGATCACGCGTGTATACTAATAGATATACTCGCAAATAGTAACACCTTGTAAGAAAGAAATCTTGCTACAAATGTGCATAAAAATGTTCAATAAGATGTAAAATACACGGGAGGATGAGATAACACGCTAAACAGAGAATAAACGTGGAATATAAAATAAAGATCTTGTGAAAAGATCAGTTTATATTTTTATGAAAATTCTATGGTTCACATTGTTCTCAAATATAAATTGAAACTTCGTAGATCTGTACTATATGTACTTCTATTCACATCCAATTGGTCCTACAATAATTGTTTCTTGAATATATACGGTAGCAATATTTTATCGTTTTACTAAAATGCTCTGTGGGGTTTTACATTTGCGGTTTCTCATCCGGTTTGTCCGATACGCAGGAAATAGTCCTGAAGTGTCCTAGAGGATGCAAGGCTATTAGGTTTCGCGTGGAAAAAAGTATGAGCGATGTAGAAAAAGGTGGGGGGAGGAATAGTGACAGGAGATGAAGAGAGCAAAAGTGCTTATACTGAAAGTAGAAAAAAAAACGGAAAATCAAAGTACGCACGATGGAGACCGGAAATCCCAGGGCGTTCAACCCTGACACCCGGTATATATTTAGACTTAAGGAGACACACTCTAATCTGATCGCATAGATAAGGATGAACAGCCTATCGAATGCAATATCTTAAAACATAGTAAGTTTGTTGTATTTTAAAAAACAAATCAGTCACTTTCTAGAGAACAACCAGAATACAAACGATGATAACAATAATAATAAGTAATATGCAGAAGATCCCCGGCTCGTGTTATATAAAATGGAAATTAATTAAATGAACTAAAATAACGTGTACATTGGCATCCTTTGGCAACTTGCAAATTTGTGCAATAGATAATCTACGCCGTTTCTGAGGAACTATGTTCGTTAGCACATTGTCCTGATAATATCGACATCCCTTTCCCTCCTCGAAAAAGAGTTAACGCTTCCGTGAAGGAAGTCGATCGTTTCCTATTTGCTTATTGCATAATCACGCACGCAATACTGTGTCAGTGTATCGAGTCTACCCCTATTCATACATCAAGTTTCAAAATAACCAAGCATGTGTGTATAGGTATAGGTTTCACACTTCTTAAATATTTACTGGATTTTATCAAAATAATTATGATTTCGTTACGTAATGAAACTATAATTATGTTATCAAAACTTTCATTTTCAGATCGTTCCTCAAAAATTTGTAAGTTATATATGCTATACTTTTTTCAAATTTCCACAATTAGATAGAATGTCTTATAACATTTCTTAATATTTCTTAATTGTTAAAAATTTTATGCCTCCTGATATATCTAAAATAATGAAAATGGCGCTAAATAAAAAATTTGATTAAAATATTCTTAACTTAAAGCTAATTAAAATATTCTTACGGTAAGCAGTATAAGTAAGTAACGCGTTTTATAGTTTAATTAAATGAATAATGAAGATCAGAGGACAGATAAATTTTCTTTGTGAAAAACCATTCGTAAAAGCTGCAAAGTATTCGCGTCTTTAGAAACACAATACCAGCAGTGGCGGCCTTCTCGAAATAGACGAGAAGCCCAGCCCTCCAAACTCGTCCGAAAATAAAACAGGTTTCTTCCCTGCAAACCACGCTGTCCGATTGGTAGACTGACAGAAGAGTTTGCCGATTAAGCGACAATTAAAAAGAATTGCGATTTATGTTCCATTATTGTCAGATTTTGTACAGAAAGGTAAGTTGCAACTCGCAATGATTTTCCGTTTACAGATTATAACAACGACTTAATTAATTGTTCAAACAATCTACAGTTCACAAAAACCAATAGGTACATTTTCTCAATTTGTAAATTCTATTACCAACAGCGTATATTATTATATTATAGAGATATTGTAAATGTAATGAAAAGCGATTATTCTGGACTTATTATTTCAAAAAACACTTGGTTAACAGTCACACGACAGGTATCACACGACACATTACTTACAATACAGTTACAAAGTGTTAAAAAAAATAATTTGATGATTATAAAACAAATACTTCTTCGTTTAATATAGGAATAGAATGTTTAAAAAATAAATAATGCGTCATAAATCATAAACTTCTATAATTCAGCTTAAGATCTACGTAGAATTTAAGAGCGCGCTGCTTTTATAAAATAATTATAGGTTATGCTGTTAAATTAATTAAAAATTAATAAATTTAATAAATTAATAAAATTAATAAATTAAAAAAACTGAACACAATATAAAGATCAGTATCAATGTGAATAATTAGTGTATGAGCGATAGACATTTGGCGTATGACTTGCATTAAAAACTATTAATTCCATTATACTTGATTCATTTTCATCTTGAAACCATACCCAATACATTTTTTTCTTATTCATACTCTTGGAATAACCATTATCTTCATTTTTATTCGATACATTGTTCATTAACACATGTCTTAATACTTTCACCTTTTTCCGTTTATTCTTTGGCAAATTCTTCCGCATATTAGCATTTGCATTATATGCAATTTTTTTAGCAGGAAATTTACTAAATGATTGCGGAGACTGTGTTTTATCATTCACTTCCAAAATCATATTCCTATTTTTATATTGCTTCATGTCTTTATCGAAAGACCATATATTCGTTAGATTATATATTTCTGCATATATTTCATGTACTTTCTCAGAATTTTCGCGTTTATAATTCCTTTTTCTATTCAACTTCATAAAAGAGTCATTAGTTATTCTAGCTGATAAAAAATGTGTCATAGTTTCCCATGATGAGATATTGACGTCATGATCATTTACTATTGGACGTATTTCTAGAAACATAAATATTGTTAATATAAAATAACTATTCTACTTTATGATACTAGAAGTTGCATGCAAATTTTTTATTCTGTAATGTAATATTAGTATTAATTTCAATAGAAATATTGTATGATAATTATAATCTTTGACGGTTTATCTATTTAAGAATATAAAATCTTGTATTTCATTAATATTCAAAATGAACATGTTAATTTTTCAAAGTTTTATGTTATTTATATTATTGGGTTGTTAGTAGCAGTTCTGACTGTTTAAATATAAAATTCAGTTTTATTCTTGACTGGAATGGGAGACGAATTTCAAATAACGGAACATCAAAACGAACGAAATTAATCAATCATCGATTCATTTCGAACGAAAATTCAAATCAATATACTCCCAGTTCGTTATTAAGTACAATAATTGCAAAGAAATAAAAAATCAATCAATCGTCACTATTAATCGTCAATAAAAGGAGTATCATTTTTTTGAAAAACAATAGCTAAACTAAAAAATGTTGAACCTTAGTTGGATTTTCCTATCCTATTTACTCTATCCATCTATTTTACAATATATTTTACCACAAAATTTCAGGCACTAGAAGCCTATGAAAACTGTTTGAAAGAGTCCATTATTTTTAAAAAACGAAAGTTTCCCGAACAAGCAATTATAAGATCATTAATAGATAGTAAATTGTGCTTGAAAAAAGGTAATATGTACAATGTTCAATGAAAATGCTATTTCCATAAAGGTACGTTTCACTATGAACTTTTCAAACAATTCAATACTTAATGTTTAATAGCGTCTGTAATCATAGAATTGCATTATCGAATAGAAATATTACACGCACAGTAATACTTACTTGTTTCGTAATAATAATATAGAAGTATTGAAGTAAAAAACAGAAGTAGAAATACTTTTATTCTTTCACAATACATATTATGTAGTAATGTTTTCTAAACTATTCTTTGAATTATACGAGAACGTGTTCATTAAAGGAATGTAATGAAGCAATCCGTAATTATTAGTGATCTATCCAACGTAGGTACACAACACATTGTTAGTATAGTACATGAAGGACATAGTTATTTACACCCAACTAGGACATATACATGCATATATATACTAAGAGACAATTCATACAATACATACAAATCATTCTACTGACCGATAATAATCATTTAACACTTATGTAACTGAATACATGTTATATTATACATTTAATTATATCTTTTAAAAATATATCATGAAATTTATTTCATTAATTGAAGGATAAAATATTTTATTTATTAGCATATTACTCTATCATGAGCATTTACATTGTTACGTGGTTTATACGTTACAATGATCCTAGGCTACAGGTCTGAAATCAGTATTGGTAAATGGTGGTGTATTATCTGATGTATAGAAAAATCGTTTATAGTCGTTAGGCGGATATTCGGGATCCTGATGAAACTGACTCGATGGATAAGAATCAACAGGTGGTACGGAATAATAGCTATATCTGTTATCTGAATAAAAATTCACAGGTTTGTCATAAGAAGGTAAATTGTAATTAGTATGTTCGTAATCGTGATATTTATGTTCGTACGATTCCGTAGTAAAATCGATTTGGTTTATGTCTTGTGGATATCCTTCATAATAGCCATAAAAAGATGGATTTGTTTGGTTGTTATTCATTGTTGAATTTTGTGTAGTATTGATTGTCATTGAAATTTGAGTCGCATTTCTACTAGCTGTGTTGGTAGGAACCATTGTTTTATTTATAGTTTGTAGATTCGATGTCATTAACGAACTATCAGCATTTTCACGTTCATTGACAATATCTTTCACCAAGTTGCCTTGTTTCGTATTAACTCCTTTTCGCATAATGCACGCAATAGCAGAAGATGATTGTATCTGTTAACAAATGAGATACTGTTATAAATTATATTAAATGAGATGATTATATAAATTATTAAATATTTCTCTTATTTTCTTATAACAAAAGTCAGCTTTATAATGTATGTGTAATGATATCTATCGAAATTTGATATTCATTTTTAATCTGCTACACCACTTTATGTACTCTTCCTATATGTTGCTTATAGTAATACGAATAAAGTAGAAACTACTAGTTAAAGCAGGACATTATTCAATAACCTAGAAGAAATTAAGCTTAAATTCATTTTTCGTACTTGTGATTAAACATATTTATATGAAATATTATGTCAGCAATGTTTATATATGTAATGTTCCTATAATATTCATATTAATTGTTAGATCTTTACAATTATAGCAAAATTCAACAAAAAATTCGAAATACCTTTTAAATATTTTAATAATAATTTATAAACACATAGTTAAATCAATTTTTATTCAATGATAAATTTTTAAAAAATAAGGTTGATAAGTGATATTTCAGTTCATTATATGGCACAAATAAAAGTTAAACACATACTTAAATGTATAAACATATTTATAGAAAACGCGTATACTAAAATGATGATTATATCTCTTTAAATTAAATGCCATGAAAAATGAAATATCAGATAATTTTCTGGTCTAATTTCTATTTGCTCACTTTACCAAATCCTTACCTTCTCTTCCGCGTTCCGATCGCCCTCCACTTGGGACTCTACACTCTTGTCAGTATCTTCAGTGTCGTTCGGATTTTTGATGTTTTCAATTTTCTGAGCTTCCTCTACATATTCGTCACTATTATTTAGCAGATCAGTTGGTTTGTTATCGAACAAGTTCAATACTTGCGGATTTTGTGTTAATGGTTGAAAATTGTTTTGTATCCCATTAATTGACTGTGACCGTAGTAGATCCCATAAAGGATAAATTCCGAAAGGAGTGGCTAATATATAAGGATACGACACGTAAGGATAAGGATTATAAATTGCAGCAACTTGAGGTGAAATTCGAGAAGCACCAACATTCACACTCAACGGTGGCAATTTGGTGTAGGTTTTTACATCGGACGACGCTGCACCTGCTAAACCACCAACACTTAAACCAGCTAGAAAAGCCAAGCTTCTTAAAATTTTTGATTTCCTGTTCGAAGAGTCGATCTTCATATTAGCAATTTTCTCTAAGCCTTGTAATGTAACCGAGTTTTGTTTCGAAGACGTATCCATCCGAGAAATTTCTTTCTCTGGCATCTGGATGTTATCACTATCTGTAGTTGTTGCTTTTAATGATCTATGGATTACTTCTAAATTTTCTGTCGTTGCTGTAACTCTGTGACGTATTCCTAAATAAAGCGTAATAATTAATGATACAATTCCACTGGAATGTAAATGTATTTATTATTATTTATATTTAACATAAATATAAATACTTACTACCGCAGTTAATAAATACAGTTAAAAGCACAAAGATCGAGAAATTCATTGTTACTGCTTGATGTTCCGAACAAGAATGAGAAGAAATTGAGGAATCTATTTGACAAAATTCAAAACCTGCGGGTTGCCCTCATCTTCTATCTTGTGAAAGTGTGTTTTCTAGATATGGTCGAAAATATGTTAATTGTGCCTAAGTTTCTTCGTTAAAATATGTGGGTTTTACTATGCATATTAAATATCTAATTTTAACATTATTGTTTATAGTAATAATATCAAATTTTCTTAATATAAAAATTTTTATTATTAAAATTATTTTTAAATTTTTCATTACTTACACAAATACATTATTTTAATAGAAATAATAATTTAAGAGATAATATACAGGCATAATATTAAGCTGCGACATTATTTTAGTTTTTAAATTTGGCGGGCATTATAGCGACACTATCTATATATATATATGTATATCGTGTTGCTTTAGTTCCGCCATAGAAGTCTACTTTTACGAATCAACGAATTTTCAGACAAAATGACTGGTTCAGTTGAAGATAGTACACATTTGAATGACAATATAAACGTGGAATTTGCGACTCCTGAAAAGCAAGAAGCACGTGCATTTTTGCGCGAACGATTTCTTCGTGTAATTACTGGAATTGTTGGTATGAAATAGCACTTTTTTAAACCTATTTCCTTTTTCTTCAATCGAATAAAAAAATGTTTTAACATTCCTATAAATGCATAATCTTGTTTAAATTTTTATAATAGCAGCTTTCCAGGAAGTTAGAGCAGTTGAGTATAAAATTGCTCAAATGTGGCGCCAGTATCAAAAAAAACTTAGCCTAATGCGCGAATGTACATAAATTATTAATTTTTTTAATGTCAAAAATATTATAAATAAAACAATTTAGGAATATAAAACACAAAGAAACTACATGATAAATTTACAATTAGAATTATTATTATCTTTATTTTAAGGCTAACTAGAATTATTTGAAAAGATTCATCATGTAATCATAAATTATTTGTTATAGGTAAACAAGCAGAATTTTATCTGTATGAAAATACACAGGTTTCTGCTCAATTTAGAGGTTGTGATGTGGATTGTTTAGAAGTGTTTGTACGGAACTTGGAAACACCATTAGGCACAATTCCAGAAGCTGTTTTAAGAGCAAGTGACATTATTTATCTAAATATCCATGATATTAATAAAGAATAGTAAAGCTTCAAAATACAAGTAAGTAATATTAACTCTTTTATGTTACATAGAAAAGAATACTTTTATTTTTCAACTTTTTTTTTAGTAACTTATATAAATATTTATTTACATTTTACAATTCACGAACGACGCATATTTAACATTGTATTTATTTCCGAAATAATACGTCTTAAGTGATCAATGATTTCCTTGAGATGTCTATTTTTTAATACCACTTGCTGAAAAAATTAAATATAACATTTTAATTTATGAAAAAAATATTTGTTTCCAATGTTTTATATTAATGTTTATACTCACTTCCATGATTTCCTTGCTTTCCTCACAAGCAAGTCTGTAGGCTTCAGAAGTCTTTTTCTCATCGGATTTCATATCCCATTCTTCTTTTAAAGGAATTAGACTTTCTATATGCGTATATTCCATACCTTGAAGTTGACAGTTTTCATTGCATTTTTCATAAATTACTCTCAAACGTCTAAATAATAATTTAAGTGTCTTTAATTGATCCTGTACTTTATTCTTTTTTTCATTAGCTAAATTTGCACCTTGTGCCATGCCTAAAATTATAATGCTGTATAACATAATTGAATGTATATCGAATACAACTAAGTAATCTTATTATACCATTTGGGGGTTGAAGAACTCTTAATGTTTGGAAGACTTCCAGGGTGCGACTAACAATGTCTTGTACAGTTTCTTGACCAAATCTGCATAAACTAGCAGTGTTAAATTCTTTATTGTGTTGTTGTTGTTGAGGTGGTGGTTGCGTAGGTGGAACAGGAGTTTGTGGTGTTGTAGCTTGGTTGCTTGCTTGATTACTCTGTTGTACCATTGCAGCTTGTTGCTGTTGTTGTAATTGTAATTGTTGCTGTTGCATCTGTTGTACTTGTTGTTGCATTGCAACTGACTGCTGTTGTTGTTGCTGTTGTGCCAATACTTGTTGAGCACTGGGCATACCCATAGTATTGGAGCCTACTCCACCTATACCAACTCCGACTCCTACACCAACTCCAAATTGTTGTGGATTTACCATACCTATCAATATTTTGTATTAATATTACTGTATTCCTCTAATATTTGCCTCTTGGTCACTTTCTGTAACTAATACTTATATTACATTATACTTACTACCTTGTTGTGGCCCCATTAAGCCAGATACCATCTGTCCTCCGCCAAACTGCGTTCTCATTGCAGATTGTTGTACACTAGGGAACCCAGATGGGAATGGATGTTGCTGGCCAGCCATGTTATTTCGATCTTGTCACAACTTTAAATTTGAAAAATTAAATTGAATGTAAATGTGTGATAGTGTAAAGAAAATCAGGCAATAATTGAAAAATTGTTAGGTTAAGTACCCTTGTAATACTATATTTTGGCTATTTATATATATTTTACAATTCCGGACAACACTTTTATTTAAAAAATTTGTCTTCAAATAACTGATATTTTATCTTTAAATGTAAGAAGCAAAATAATCATTAAAATGCTAATCCTAAAAGTCACAAATTATATTAACTTTTTATTACATTAACGAAATCAATATTTTTTGTTACGATATGTTTCTTACTTGGTAATAAATCGAAAATTACAGAATCACGCCATCAGCAGAGAAGCAATAATAAAATATGCACATTTCCACTAACATGTGCAACGTAAAAGGCACAAATTACATCTTACATGCACATTGTTGACATCACATCGCGCATCTATAGAACTAGAGAGGAGATGAGAGTGTTCACCCCCGCATTTCTGGTTGTTTCACAGTACAGGTGCTGCCCCATGCGGCATAGTGCTGAAGGTAGAACACGCTGGCATATACAAGAATCTATGTATTTAAATTTAAAGTTAGGAATTTGCCTTGTTTTTTGTTATATACTAACGCAGACAAGAACCTATTGAGTTCCATGCTACAAGAACCTAATTAATTGTACGGTTCTACAGAAATGTTCGTCCCTACTTTTCTATCTGAGACCATCTTGAATAAATGCGGCGTCTTGTATAAATCGGGATGCGTTTATATAAATAATAGATTGTATTTCCTCGAAATTCACTTACAATATCATATCATTTTAATTAAAAAATATTACGGGCATATTGATAAAATGTCATAAAAAAGGGCTAATAATATAAAAGATTTATTATTGTATTGTTGGCTTATCGATATTCGATCTTGAATAGAAAAAGGACTATGTAATTGTATTATTCTAAATCCTAAAATATCATTAAAATGCTAAAATGCGAGGGTTCTTGTAGCGTTGAACTTAATAGGTTCTTGCCTATGATAGTATACAATCAAATAGAGCAAATCCCTAATTTTATAGGGATTATATATATTTTTGTATATGCTGACTCGTGTGACCTTCAGCACTTCGCCGCATGGCGCAGCACTAGTCCGGGAACAATCAGAAGCATAAGCGTGGACACTCATTTCCTCTCTGTTATTATGTTGTATTTAAAAAATAATGTATATAAAACACGATATCATCCTGAAAGATCATCTTATTAAAATAAAATTTTGACAGGGAGAGTTACGTAAATATAAATTCTTGTAATCAATAATGGCAATAATGTAGTATAAGCGCAAGGGCAGCAGCTTTTACTATGTTAGTAACAATCGTCTATTTTGATATATATCTATTCATTGTTTTTGTAGAATAGAATTCTCTTTCCTAAAATTACAATATAGTGATATCTTTTAAACTTTCTTCCGCCCGTCATTGTATATATAATATACAGCTATATCTTTAAAATATAATACTATTTATAATAAGAATATATACATATACTTACGTTTTACAGACATTATGTTTTCCAATTTGTTTTCATGTATATTTCACAATATACGTGCACTGAGAATCTAGTAAGTGAGTATACGTTATACTTTTTGCTGTTCAAAATTCCATTATATATACGTAAATGTATAACATTAATATTCTAAGAATTTTATGTGAATATAATTTATAGATACAAAATGTAATGTATACCTCTTTTATTTTTAATATATAATAATATTAATAATATTATATTAATATTATTAATTAATAATTATAATTATTATATTATTTATATAATAATTAATAATATTATATAAATAAATATTTTTAATATATAATTTTAATATATAATATAACATTATTATAATAAACATGGATATTATAATACCTGGCGATAAATTTAATTCCAAATTTATTACAACAAAATATAAATACGCTTTTGTTTATTTCTTTTCACTTTTTGTTTTTTCACTTTTTCACTTGTATTTTAAAATTATATAAATAATATTTTATACAATATTTCTGCATTTAAGTATAGATGTGTACTAACGATTATATGTTAGAGAAGAATAGTGAAACATCCCTCAGAACGCAGGATCAAAGTCGATGTTAAATTCTTGGAAAGATACATAGGGCCAAATTCGGTGGTATTCGAACAATGTCCAAACAGGAGATAAGGTCAGTGCGCACGAAATGAACACAGTAGACATAACGGCCCAATCTTCAGTCCCCATGCACCTTGCTTGCTTTTGCCTTCACATTGTTTTTCTGGCACAGTCAGTATCTATCTCGTCGCAGACTGTTACTGGACGCTTTAAGATACGTGAACGAAAAATAACAGTGGCAAGTTGATCATCTCCGGTACGATGCCTCGCAAATCATTATTTTTCATTGTGCTATTATTCAGCTTTGTTCTATATGTTGAAAACAAGGCGATTGAAAATCGAAATTTTCAATCTAATATTGCAAATAGTGCTTCGAGGATACAAGATCAAAACATAAATGAAAACATCGACTCCGAGGTAATCAAAAGTGAACGCTCAAATAGGAAAATAAACCACACTACTTGTGTCGGAAATTGTAATGAAAAAAAACAGAAATTTTTAAGTGAAAGCAAGCACATATGCCCTTATGAAAGTAAGGAATTGTGCTTAATATTCTCTTTGTCAAAAATTGCTAAAGTTCAAGTGGCTAATTTAAATCAGCCTTCGACGCATCACAGTTTAAAATCAAATATTTTTGACAGTGTGTCAAAAGATGCCAGAAATTCAAAAATAAACGAAGAAATAAAGGAGGAAGGGCAGTTCAGGCTCAATTTCGTAAATCGAAACGAGGACAAATATTTCCAGAATTCTTTGGAGAAACAGATGAAATCATCGAACGTTCATTGTCGAGCAATTCATGATGTTTATATACCAGAAGTGAAGCAGAATTTACCAGCTTTTGCTTGTGTATTTGGAAATAATACGTTCGTTTTGTCGAGTGAAAGATTTCTTCAAGATCGACGAACATATTTGGATATAAAGATTGAGGAAAATATATTTAAAAATATAAAATTTGCTCCGAAAATGTCCAGAACCAATGGATTTGACGTGGTACCTGCTCTGCTTATTTTAAATCGCATTAATAATAATTACAGGATAGAAATGCACAAAAATATCCCTAATGAAGGAAAAATCGATCAGTCAGAAGAAAGCCGATAAGAGATTATCAAGAAATAATCGTGTTTCATAGAAGATTCAAATTTTGTTAGGTAAACAATACATGTAAATATGATAATTGTAACTATATCAGTAACTATATATTTGTTGCAATTGAAAGGAAGTTAAACAATTTTATAATGTAATTGCAAATATTTTTCACGATTTTTTTTCTTCCAGTTCTGATGTATTGTTGTTAAAATATTTGATATAAATGTAATTCGAATACAGCTCGCAGTCTATTTTATTTTGTATCCTATCTTTAAAATATCTTTATTCGAGCATAATAGGCATGACGTATTCTTGTAGATCGACAATGCATAGTACACAATATTGTAATTCGATTTGTAACACTTGACAATAAACATTTGAATCTTAAAATCCATTGGACAAGTTTTATCACATAATTCTACATTGTTCATATTGCTATAAATAAATCTCACTATAAATGCTATATTATCATCTTATCATCTTAAGTCCGATCATATTATCATCTTCACTTCGAATTTCCTAGATCGATTCTCTGTTCGTCCTTCTTCTGGTGTCGGTAACGTTTTTGATGAATGGGTTGTTTTTTGAACATTGGACGAAACATTCGAAAGTGGTTGTTCCTTGACAGGTGGTTTATCATTTATCGTGAGTTGAGTTGTCGGATGACTTTCTTCAGTAAGATGTTGCGCAAGATCCTTAGATATTGACGATGAATCGTCGGTGATGATTCGATCGTTCAATTTAGTTCCACTAGAAATTCGTTCGTTAGTTTCCTGATTCGATTTATCCAAAGTCGATGTTAAAAGATGCAAATTGGAATCATGTATATTATCTAAATTTTTTATTCCTTCCCCGATATCAGTTCGTAAGTTTTCAAGATCTGCTTTTTCTTCTTCAGTTAATGGATTAACCTTAAAAATAAAATATTAATTTTGCCAATTGTACACACATTTGAATAATAGTTTTGAATTCGTTTTACTACAGAATGATAATTACTATATTTTAAATGAAATCGTTATAACTTATATTTTTCAAAATGAGGATTATAAGTTGCCCTTTGTAAATTTAACTTCAATTGCATATTTTATATTTACAGAATATTCACAAAGAAATCATATTTCGTTTTGCAATCTTCCGTATATATTTTACTAATTACAATAGAAAAGATATCGATACAGATTCGTAATTGTTCGTTAGCTACTAATTTATAATTTTCTTCTAATGCTTCAGTGATAGGATTTACGAATATTTCTTACCACTGTATGTTCCGTTAGAACCGATATAATTTATTTCTTTCAAAAAGATTAATGGTTAAAAGTACTTTAATTTTTGTTTGTGTTCTGATTTTAGACGAAACCCTCACATGACTTAGTATATGTAGCAATAACACGTTCGGCAATGTTGGTAATTATGAAGCGTGAAACATGAATTTTTTTAATATAGTTTTGACATATCCAGTTTGAGAAAGAAGCACTTCTAAACATTTCTTTTTTGATTGATTCTAGGAATATCTTTCTTGTTAACATATATTAGACTTATGTCTTTCATGTACTCAAGAGTAATAACTTCCATCGATGCAAGTGTATAGATACAGTTTATGTACCTAATCAATGTGTACATGTATGTATATACGTAATTTGTGATCAAAGATTTACACGAATGAATTTTTGTTCAATTTTGTTTTTCAAGTTATTTGAGATGATCATTGAAGCATTAGTTTATCGCTATTAATGTATTATGATAGAATAAATGAAAAGAACAGACGATTTAATGAGTCATTGATCTCTCCCTAAGATTAACCATTTACGCAGGTGTCAGGTGAAAATATATAGGATATAAAAGCAATTACTACGATTAATCGAACTGGCGGTAATATTTTTTCCGCACTCTCGCATCATCCGTTGTTAATGCGCATATTACCATCATGAAGCAATATCCATTTTTGGTAAGAAAAGTGTTAGAAATTAACCAATATTATATGATTTAGAAAAAGAGCAATTATGTTTTTTTGATGTTTTCCTGATTTATATTTTAACAACATGAAAAACATACGAAATAAATGAGATTCATACTTTAACCACAGGTTTTGAAGCAATTATTTTCTTTACGTGTTTCTCTCGATGTCTTTTTACATCGCCCTCTGTTAATTTGCTATTCTTTTCATCTTTAGGATTAAAAGGACTGCTCATTTGTCTAATTTTTACAGGGTGAACGTTGTACTTATTAATTTCGCCTTCCTCAAGAATAATAGCCGGAAAATCAGAAGTATTATCTAAATCGGTTTTCTGTAACAACAATTAAAGGAAAGATTTTGACATTTTACGAATTTACATTCAAATATCGCGATTGCCATCGCATTGCAACGAGTGAAATAAAAAGCTGGAATTATTTAAAAAAGTAACTTGTGTTGTAGTAGCTTTTCGATACTACAGTTGTGCTTATTAATTTCGACCAGTAAAGAAGGATTAGTTCGTAAAATGCTATTAACTATTACAATCATAATTCTCTTTTTACAAATTTTTATTGTTTATCGTTAAATTATTCAAGTGGATTAGTCACCTTGGATAAGCTTGGTCCTTCGTGAAATGCCTCGGCTAAGGCAGGATTTATTTCCTCCAATGGTTGATCACCATGCCGTATATAAACCGGAATATAGCCTGGGATGACAGGTAATACTTGGAGTGGATAGGAATCTAGAAGAAATTAGGATCGAATGAAAAACCAAAAGTAAATTGATATCGGAACGAAGCAAGTTGTAGATTTTGACAAACGATAATTTATAATACTATAATGCGATGTGACAGCGTGCACTAGTCTTGTATTACAAAAAATACTCGCGCGTGTCATGCATGTGTAATTTATTTTTTATAATTGCGAATCACATTGTATTATTGATAATTGATAAACGACATACGTATAGTTATTTTTGAGTATTATATGAAATAGGAAACCCGCGGGCAAATTGTACCAATCAAAATAAACAAATATTTTGCGCAAAATATAAACTCCGATCCGTCATAGTTTACCAAGGACGAACGATATTTAAACAAATATTCAACACACTTTTGCCCGCTATTAGCTATTTCGTCTATACACTTGCTTCCCATGATATCGATGAATTCCATTAATCATTAGATCGCTACTCGAATCACAAATATCCCGAAGGCACACAAACAACTTAACACTTGTTCCCGTAACAATTTATAATAAGCACCATGTAGATTTGAATACACGCTTGGTTCACGCGGGAATTTCAAAAATTCCTTCTACTCACGGACATAAGCAATCGAGAGAGATATTAGAAACACAAGATCGTAGACGGTCCTGGTACCACGCATCATCTCAGCAGCCTGCATCTTTGAACGGTACTAAGCCCCTGGAGCACGGGGCTCTCTCCTTTATATCTACGTTCCCCTCTACCCCTTCGGTCTGTACTACCGAGAGGCCCCTCGGGGTTAACGCCGTTCCGTTAATATCGGAGCAAAAAGTCAAATCTTCCTTCACTTTCGGCAATCGAGACGACCTAACAACGAAGCCTATTCGGACATTCTCTTGCTGCTTTCTAGGAAATTCACCGGTATATAGAACCGGGTTTTGTAACTTAACCGCATTCGTTTTTATCCTCTTACTAGGATTTTGTTTCATTGAACAAGAGACTAATAGGCTGAGCTGTGTGTTCCACAAAAATAGTATGCCGTCATTGAACATCAAAAAATTCGATCGCTTGAAAATAAATTAACGAACGTTAATCATTCGTCCATCAAGAGTGCTTTTTTGTAAACATTTAAAAAGGTATGTTATAATTTGGTAGCTGCGATTTTTTTCTAATAATCTGTCGAAGTTTCGTGTTCTATGCGCTTGAAACATTTTTTAGAAATGGAAAAGACGAAAAGTTCAAACGTAGGATTGTTGGTTAAAGGAGAAGGTTGAAGAAACCTTCGTGCGCTCTTTCGCTCGCGAAATGTGCTGCTGTTAAGAATAGATTCGATCTCTTCGCGCAGGTAATCGTACCCCGCAAGACTGCCAGAGATCTTCGACCTTGAGTCTTCTTCTTCCTGATCGTTCAAGTGAGTCCGATTCGAAGATCGATAGTGCGTAAATCTTACGAATCGAAGGCCAATATTGATCGACGTGTGATAAGTATTAATAAATTGCAATCGTAGATTCGTTTGATGAAACTTGTTTATAAAATCTACATACATATTTCTTGCGTAATTTTATTTTTAAATTTTTCTATGTTTCAGGTAGCATTATATTTATAGGAACATATATTTATCATAATAGTTATTTAACTCTTTTCTAATAAAATTCCTTACTTAAAGAATGACTTGCTCGTAACTTTCCTTCTATTTTCATAGTTAATAATAGAAATAAGCGAAAATAAATACAAGTAAAGTATGTACTATACACGTATGTATATTATACAGAGATTTATACTTACACGTAATATATTTTACTTTATAGGAAATTATAATCTTGATATCAAAGTAAGAAAAAAGAAAAAAGGATGGTCAAGTGAAAAGTTTTGTCAAGCAGGACGTTTTAAATACCAAATATCAGTTACTTGGATACTATTCGAGATATTAAGGTTTGCTTAACAAGTGTGTAGATTCGTAGCTACCGTTAGCTTATTGCTTTTTTGTCTGAGTGCTGAGTAAACTTTTTTTTATATTACTAGATCACCTTTTCGTCCTTTAATTAATCCGTTATTAACAATACCTATACAAATTTACATATATATAATCTTTTCTTTTTAGAGGTCATCGTTTCACAGAGATCCTGTATTGTTTAAGCTGTTTCGTTTTTCAAAAATTCTAGTTACGTTTGATTATAGCGTACATTAATTAAATATTACAATTAATTAAAATATACTATAGGAAAATCATGGATACACAATAAACTTGGAATTTTGAATTACATGTATGGCTGAAAAGGTAGTATTACACTACTATCAAACCATAGAATAGAAGTATCAATATTCTACTATAAATATTATTATTAGGTTTCAATCATAACTCAGATAATTATGAAACCTAGCAATTAGTTGATTGTGAAATATAGCTATAATTTAGCAGTATTTATTATAATCATATATCGTTTTTCTATAAACTTTAAGACTACTTTTAAGATTCTGGAAAATTTTACATGGGCTCGTACATACTGTAAACTATAATTCTTAATCTCAAATGTCACAATTACAAAAAATTATATAGTAGTTCTATTAACCCCTTTTTGTTTACAATAGATTTTAGCACAAGAGATCCTATGATAATTCCCTGTAAAAAATGACGCTTTTAAAATAAAATTTCAATCGTTTAAATATCAGAAAAAATTAAGTTCTTATTTACGTCAGGTAATTATTGCTAACATTGTATATAACCAAATATTGATATATCTAATTTTCGTATAAAATTGAGTTGTGTTTTTACGCGGAACATTAAGCTATGTATGGTGCTAACTTGTTGTTCGTATATTTATTCTTATATTTTACTTCATTCGATAAAATTGTATACAATCATGCGATATGATTCTAAAAATAAACTGCTTTTTAATTTTAGTGCTATCTTATTGTGACGATTAAGCCCCAGGGCAACAATATATCCTGAACGAAAGGTCAGGATCACCACTCAATGTACAAAGACTCGCATGTCCACCTTAAGTAAACTCTTTCTATGGCAACATATGCATGATAACAATTATAGATACCACCCGTATATATACCACTTTCTAGTTTATTTTTATGATGAATTTTACAACACATACATTAACAATTATACTTCCGTACATTCAAAGTAAAAAGAAAAGTCACAACTAAACTGATACCTCATGAGGTATTGAATCTTTCCTAATATCGTTTTGTATAAAAAGCAATAGTCATATTGATACTGACTGCCTTAAGAAATGTTTTTCCTTTGTACCATAGTTCAACTTTGTTAAAATCGCTATCAAAATAGAGGTAGAGTGGTTCATTCACGATCGATGTTATGACAAGGAAGATTAGTCTATGTAACTCAACGTTCCTTAGCAATTAATGGATTTGCGAAGACTGGATTATTAAAAAGTTGCGTCACTTTCCATTTTACAATGCTCGTAAGTATGTACCAGTCAGCGCGAGTAACGTGTATCATCATCGATCGACGTCCCCTTTTCCGCTCGTACGTGTCGAAGAAGGGCGTAAGTGATGAGCTGCTACTAAGCGCTATATTGCCGGATGTATATGCGTGCATAATCTCGCGTATTGACACAGTTAGAATTCTGGTTTAGTGGGTCGTTCGTATTAGCTCTTAACATTATTTTCGGAAAAAAATTGTATTGCCTACGAAATTTTTTTGTAAGGTATTTTTGTAGTGGAAGTTACTTACCTCGTATTAAACCAGCGATAAAGAATATTCCTATAGAAAACCGGTTTCGTATAAATACTACCTGTCGTTTAAATGATAATTATATATTAAACATATTATTTAATTTTCGACTAATCCCTCGTAAATTGATTAGAAAATTTGATACTTTTACCTGAGAATATATCTATGAGAAAAATGATATCTTAAACGTAGAGTTGAAAAATATAAACGCGAAAAATATTAAGTAAAATTCGAGTAAAGATAGATAGGAAGAAATAGATGTTCGAACAGGTGTCTACGATAGGAATGAATCATCGATCCTTCGCATGTTTTCAAATCAAATGAAATTAATTCGGCCATCGCATATTAATTTTCGTGTCAAACGTGCATTGTGAAATGTGGCACGACTACTTCGGTTACAATTGGCAAACAGAAGCATATTGACAATTCTTACTATACTGTAGAACCAGGCGGAGTTGTTATATAAAAATGTATTATCGATTCCTTGCGAATCGAAACGACGTTTTTCGAAAGAACTGTTTTAACTTTTTATGGACGCCGTTGTGCGAACTGGATGCGATTCCTCTCACGAAAAGGAACATCTTCATGAGAATGTGTACGGTTCTAGCGGTTAGACTTTTCTATGTATATTCCAGCTGGATGCAACCGGTTTCGTTTTACGACCCTAAAAAACTGCTGAGGATTAAATTAAAGCCTTGTCGTTTTGCAATCATCAACAAACTTAGGTAACCCTGGTTCCAGTCGCATAAAAGGGAAATTGACGTTTTATAAAAACTCCCGTCATCGATCTAACAATATTTCACTTTGTACAACTTGCATCTTATCTCGTGTGCAATTATTATCGGGACGTTTACAAAATAATACAACATGAAATGGTACCAGTTTAGCATTTAGATTGCTGATGTCTGCGTTATACGAGAACATTGAAAGTCTGGCGACAGTTATATAAATCGTCGTGTATATTACATCGTCTGTAGAAGATTCTGACCGAAAGGTAGAATGCTATTCCTATTGATATGCGCCAGTAATAATATAATTTATGAAATCTGTTGCTTTAGGTGACTACCACTTGAATCGCAAAGATTACATATTAATCATAGAAACGCAACATTGCAAAAAATAGTCTACGTATATGACTTCGAAAATAATAATTCCAACTTTCATTTTGGACAATTCCATTTTCTATTTATTCCATTTTCTATTAACTTGTATAAATTTCTGACATATAATTCTGCTATATAGTTATATATATATATATATTACTCACTGGTGTTACAGGTTTAAGGAATATATATATATATACATTCCTTTCCTTAAACCTGTAACAGCAGTGAGTAATACCGATGATTCATGATTAAAAGAATATTTCTACGTTATTAAGGTAATTTTGATCCCATTTCTGATTTGATATGTTTCAGATTTTTAAAGATATTTTTTATAAGTATTGCAAAAAAATAAAATAACAACGTGTTTGTAACTGTAAACGCGACTTTTGTTTTTCCAACAAGACAGTTATTTAAAATCATTAGTCAATGGTATACTTGACTAATGAATCATTAATCAATATTATACTTGGCTAATGACTTGTCAATGAAAACGTTGTGTACAATATGTAAATATCGTATTTAAATAATATACAAAAGGAAAAAGAGGATGATTAAACTGATTTAAGTCAAGGTTTTTCCACGTTTACCTATTATTTATGCGTCAGGATTATGCATGTATAATCATCAAATCACGCTAGCGTTAACTATGATTTTTAGTGTTTACTACGGTTTCATTATCGCCAGCAAAAAATCATCGAAATAACAGGCTATAAAGTGGGTCAGCAGTATTCCTGTCTATTTCGACGCACCACATAACTTCGCCGATTTAACGAAAACCAATTACTCTTACAAATGACTGAATTTATCGTCTCGATACTGTAATGCGTAAAAATCAGAACGAATTCAACACGCACGTTTCGAAGACCTGCTTATCATCTAGATAAATTATTCATGCAAGGAATCATGGAAGTGTAACCGTGAAACTGCAAGGTGCAGCTCTCACAGAAAGCAATTAATCACACATTTACTGGATCCAGTCAACTATACTTTAAACTAATTTTCGTTTCCGTTTAATAAATTAAAAATATGATCAGTTCTTATGTTTTTGACTCGTGATTTAGTCACTTAATATTGATGTAATATTTTAGTTAGTAGATATTAGTCATGAAACACTATAATGAAATATTACTATACTTTCTTATAAGTACCTACCAGTTATTGACCACTACTGTTTCTACTATGACCATCACTACAGTAATTTGCTTCTTTATAACGCAAAATATGGAATGTTGTATAAATACATGTAATTAATTGTATAAATTTTGACACTGTTTGAAATTTAAACGTTCGTGTTATATCTTACGCATACTTTCATGCTGATATTGTTGACAGTCCAAATTAAATTCTACAATATTTCAAAAATTACAAATAATTAATATGTAGAATTTGTCATTTATTAAAATAAGAACATTATTAACGATATAAAAATAAGAATTAATGCTTATATAATATTAATGCCCATATAAAATTTCATTTGAATTATTGTATATCTCAAACTTTTGTTTTAAAAACGATTATTACTGTAGCAAACGAAATTTCATTTCAAGTTTATAATAAATAAAACTCTATTTCTCTTTACGTAAATTAGTGATAACATTTATCACGAAATAATGAAACTGAAATTTTGTGTTAATTTTATCACTAATAATTACTATAAAATATTGATTTTTTAAATACTAACTGATTTAACGTAATTTAATTATTAATGAGAGTATGAATTATAAAAATAAATTCTTCTTGCGCGAGGGAATAATTTTATTTGATTCGATTATTGAGATGTTATTTGAACTATTTTACAATTCTGTGGATGTACACATAAATTTACAAGTAAATTGTAACGTACGATTATTTTAAGAAATTTCAATATTAAAAAAACAGAGATGTGTGTGTTGAGAACTGGAAATAGCAGTAAAGCACAGAAAGATTTTTATTTCTGTGACGCAACGTGTACAAAATTTTGATACAGGTAACGTTGTTTTCGAACAGATCGAAGGAGAAACCGAGGTCTGATTATTTCACTGGTCGGAGTAAGTTTTTACGATTTGCCCCTTGTTCGCCCAGTTTTTCCTCATTGCACTCCTCGTCCAGAAGACCTCGAGGGCCGTTTGCCGTCGGCGACGGTCAACGACCGGAAAATACTTGCAGATCATGAAGAAGAAAATGCTGAAGAAGAAGACTGGCAAAGCACTACTCATGATTGAGACTTTGATGGAAGTCACTAGGTATTCAACGACCTGCAGACCCACATTTTCACTTCGCTTCTTATGAAGTCCTGTTGGATCTCTGCTAATATGATAATTAAGTGTATTTTAAGTTCGAAATTTTTTACATCATTCAAAATTTGATATAACTTATTTACGAACTGACTGTATGATTTCAATCAATGCGATCGATCAGTTTCAATGATTTTTGTTGTAAAATTGTACGTACGAATTGTATGTACTTTAATGTATTTTAAGAATTTGTGCTGTTTCCGTTTTTATTGATGACAATTATGCAGCGGTGAATTTAAAATATAAATCTCAGCGTTGAAACGCATTATAATTAGAATATCAGTGTTTAAGTATTTATAAATGGAATAAATATTACGCAACGCTATAGTTAATCGACTAAGAGAAATATCATACAAATTAAATTGATACATATAGAATTATGAATGTAAATTAGAAGGAAAGCGACATTTAAGAAACAAATACTTGTAGCTCGTAACATAAGATATTTAAAGAGAAAATAAACATAATTAAGATCTAAACGAATAATCCTTTGTAAGAAATGCAATAATTTTAAATAAAGCTGTGCAACGAATTATATAATAACCATACAATAACTCTGTAATAATTTTCAATATCAAAATAATCGTATTTGATATTGTTTGATTATTATTTCACATATCAATATTTTACAAAATGTATATGATAGTTCATCGATTAAGCTATAGATAGATAAGAAGCGCCATAACTTTTAAAGGACAGGCTACAAAATAATAAATCGCAATTTTTTAGCGCAAATAGTAACATCATTCAGTCTGCATGATATACAAATATATAAATAAAATATTAAAGTACGGTTTAGTGAATTTAATTTAATTTCTTCTTGCTTTTTCTCAGTTGCTATTATAATAAATATGCGAAAAAAAATAAATGTAGTTAAATAGAAACCTTCAGATTTATCGCTGATAGATACATTAGCTATAGAAAAGTGAAAACAAAACGTCTATACAATAAATGCAGTTATTTACATTTGCTAAATCTTCGAGTAATTTATTACCTGATTCTTCGGGGAATCTTATCCAATGCATACTAGGAATTTGAAATATCGATGAAAATCTAAAGATAAATTACAATACTTATATGAATAAATAATTCATGAAATTTTAATTCTTTATTATTTCATACTAATTCGTTTACCAGTCGTAATTTATATTATATTACAGAATCACACAAAAAATCTGTTCTACCAAACTTACCAAACTTTCATTTCATTTATACGGTAATTGTTTCCTTATATTGCTACGTAATTGTTGCATTTAATGCTGCTGTAATTTTTGAACCCGTTACTTATTCTGTTCTTTCTTCATGCTCGCAATACTTACATTTTCTAAATTAGTTTATGGAAATAATACACTGCACGTTGAAAACGAAAGCAGACTTAAAATTTCATGAACAGTTAACATGGTACATTTTTTTTTTATTTTTGTACTATCGAAACACGTTCGACGATTCTGGACGTACAGATCAAATAAATTTTTGTTTATTTTCATACTAATGTTCGATGAGGTAAATGATGAGAAAGCGTGTGATCACAACTTGAAACTACGGATACGGATCACGTATTCACAGCAGCACGGAACCTATCACCTAGTCTCGGAGATTTGACTTCGTTTCGGCGCGGATTTCGTTCCGCACGCGCGCGCGTGCTCATTCCTTCCTGACAGTCTTGGAAAAATAGAGAAAAGAATCGAAACCTTACCGTTATGTTCACCCAACTCGCGCCATAATTACAGCATGGACTTGCTACTTGCAAGATGTATACAACCATAGCCAGCGATATAATGTGCACAGTTTAGACCATGCCACAGTAACAGCACGCTCGTTTCTTTTAGTAATTACATGAAATTGAATCGTGCCTATCTATCAACGTTCGACGCGTGTAATTATTCATCTCTGTTTTACCTTGCGTGTGACATTAATTATCGCCGTGCAAATGTATATTGCATGCTTAGTACTGAAATAGCTATCTAGATGTTAATGTCACTCCTTTAGAAACTATAGCGTGTCGCTAATGTCTTGATTATCGAACGTATTATATCATCAATTGCAACGAATTGTGAACTATTAACCAAGTGTTTATTAATATTTATGTTTATTAATTATTGAGTAATATAAAGATGCAATTTTTCAAAATACCGTTTCTTCATAGAAGAAAATTATCATTTAAGAGACGTAAAAATTTGTAACACGGTATAAGAGTCGGTATAAAAATCGTACAGGAGCTGGACGAAGAAGAAGTAGTAAGTTATCTTTTTTTCTTTTATATTGGTCAAATTTTTAAATAATCTATCGCATTTATATTAAATCTATCAAAGAAAACTAGCGAAGATATAATTTTCTCATTCATAATTTTCTTTAATACAACATATGTAAAAGAACAAATAAGTACAAGTACGTAAGGACGTGCATGGCACCCGCATTTCGAGCAAACGAAAACGAATAGCTCGCGTGTAAATGAAGTTTCATAAATGAGCAGATATTTTCATCCAGTCTTCGCGCAGATTCAATATAGAGTCGTGGTATCGGAGGCGTAATTAAACCGGTCTTCCACTTTATCACGGATTATATTAGTAATAGTAATCACTACCCGGTTCAATATCTTGCTTCAAGTTGCAGCTGTTCAGAATAATTATACTTCGTTCTTTGATCATTGTTGGGTTAATTATTGTGACGTGACGTGGTATCTACTACTTTATGATTTTAACAGAGCAGCAAAAACAATTCTGTTTTTCTTTGTCTAACTAGATTTTCCTCGAGAATGGCAACAGCCTTTCAAGGTCAACGCAGGGTCGAGTTAAAGATTTCGCAGTACCGATGATCGATTATCTGATTATCATAAATACAGGTACCTCGTAGATCGTAGAAATTAATAGACCAACACGCATTAAAGGTAACGTGCAATGCACACAGCATGTAAAACGATGCTCGTTAACGCGTTGCGCTCTCCCCTTTTAACGATGAACATCAATCAGGAATAGAACCTGCGATTATTTCCTGGAAATCCTGAGATTTTATTAAAGGCAAACCTGTTTACTATTTTTTCATTTATTCGGTACTTGATACATGTTACATAAATCGGCGATTAAGATGACGAACGTTACGTTGTAACAAACTAATTGAATATGATTCCACGTATATGTTATAAAAGTCGTTGAATTTTTTGCGAATATTTTGGGCAGCATATAACTTAAAACATCTTCGTTGTTATATTCTATTTGGTTTATTTCCCCCTGAAAATAGAGAATTGTGTTATGACCAACAGTAAATAATTACCACAACATATAGTATTGAATAAGTAATGGAAGTTTAATACATACCAACTGGAACCTGCTTTCGCTGAAGCTGAAGCATATGAATTTCCACCACCGCCACTACAGTAATATAAAATCACAAGATGTTATTTCAAATATTTCGAAAATGGTATTATATAATAATATAACTTTTACTACTTTAATATAACTTTCATTAGAATGGGCAATATGATTTTTTAATTCATATTTGTTATTTTACAGACAAAAATAATTTAGTTTAAATGGAGCCTCGTTCAGTTCAGTCAAGTTGAATTTAAACTTCTTAGAAAAGTTAGAAGTTCTAAAGAACAATATATTAAAAACGAAAAGTCAACTTTACAAAGTGGGATTGTTGAAAGACGTCATCCTGTCATATTTGGTGCTCTCTTAAAAGAGTTAAGTATAGAAAATGGAAAATGCTATAGAGATTATGTCAGAATTTTCGTAGAAAAGTTTGACTATTTGCTTAATATAATTGAACACGAGTTTTAAAATAATTATCTTGGTTTACCATCAATTAGAACAAAAGTAGAAACAACGTTACGCTCCTGTCAAGTCAAAGAAA